CATCGATTTGACGATTATTTTGCACACCCTTAGTGTGTATATATATATATATATATATATATAAAAACACACACATCCACACTTCAGCTGTGTGGCCTCATGGTGGTGCTAGAGAGCAAGATGCTCAGATGTGCTGCTGGTTAACATAACCTTATGTTAACTGGACTTGAAGAATTATGCATCCACACCTGTGCTAAACTAGCTGCACTACTAAAGTTTAACATCTATTACAATCATTTTTTTTCCTTTTGGTTTGTGTCTATGGAGATGACTTTTTTTTTCTTCTTGCTGCAAGCACAGGACATGTTTGCAGAATGGAATTTTATTAAAAAAAGAAAAATGCAATCCAGAAATGAAACTCAAAAACTCAACATTTTCTTAGGTTATGGTTTGTTTTTTTTTTTTAAAGTTTCATGGGTTTTATAGAATGACATTTCTTTATTAGATTGTTTAATAAATCAGATTCTTGTTGAAGTGCATTGTACATGTCAGGGACCAGGCAGCAACGCAAAGGGACATCCAGAAGTGTAGAAAAATATTCCTTTAATAGGATAGAGCAGGAAAGTTTCTGTCTTAATATTTTTTTTCCTGCATTACTTGTACTTTTATACTTAAAATAGTTTTAAAAATGGTACCTTAATGCTTTTGCTATTTACTTTTAATTCAAAAGCTCAAGCTGATACTCTAACTTCTAAAAAAGTCATTCACATAGTAGGATTTTTTACTGCTTCAGTATAAACATCCATTTTTACACCTCTGACAAATACAGGTGAATTCATCACTTCAAAATCTACCTTTTTATTTTTTATTTTACTTCGGTTGGTATGTTTTTTATTTGGGTTAGAAAAGTCTCTTCCAGGAACAACATTGAGTTTTCTGTTTTTGTTTGACCTTTCTATTTTAACTTGACCCTGCAGGATCAGCAGAAAGTAACATTTAAACTGTGAACCTTGAGAGCAGAAAATAAGTCTCACTTAAACAAGGTGTGTATTTCTGATACAGTTGAAAACATCCTTGTGCTATACTGAGTGGAATTACTCATGGGTAGAGTAGTCAGACATTTTAATCAAAAAAGGAGAAGTTCTATACAATAAAACCACTCCTAAAATAACTTCCCCACCCCCACCCTGCTTTTTAAAGTTATTCTGCTGTATCTAGTTACTGCCCACCTGTGGATTCAGGTCAGGACTACGATCCATGAACCATTCATTTGCTTTATGCTGAATTATTCTAATGAATCTGGAAGGTGACTCCGTTCTTTGATTCTTTTACAGGTTTGTATGATTGTCTTGCTTTTCATCAACTCAGAGCAGCTTCTCTGCTGCATTTGAAGAAGATGAACTTTGCTTCATGATGCTGCCACTGCCATGTTTCACAATGGAGATGTTGTCTTCTTGGGTGGTGAACAGCATGTTGTGTTTTGCATGTTGGTCATAATGTTCCATTTTGGTCCCCTTCCCTGTTGCCAGTTCAGATTCAGCATCATATAGTGTTTGTTGTTGAACAATCCTGCATTCATAAGTGATTCCAGGCTTTTAAAACAGCTCAGCATTATCCCTGACCAACCAGATGTGCTCTCTAATAAAGGGGCTTCCCAACTGGGGGCTCGGATGGTTGATAAATAATTTAGCCCAAAAGTACTTTGATTATCCAAAATTGAAATTAAATGTTGCAGTAATCCATGTTTTTTATTATTATTATTTTTTTTAACAGTTGAAGTTTTAATAGTTGTAGAAAGGAAGGACATTCTGAAGCGGTCCGCCTCTTGCTGGACATGGAGAAGCCATGATGGATAGAGGATGATTTAAATGTTAAATATACAATAAATAAATGTAGAATTAAATGAATACATTTCCCATTGAATTAAAATATTTTTTAATGAAAAATTTATAACACAATACAACAGATTTGTGAGATAACAATAAAAAATATATACATTTACATAAATCTAACAGTGCTGTATCATTAGGAAAATTAATAATAGTATATATATATATATATATATATATATATATATATATATATATATATATATATATATAT